AACGTGGCCCAAGATACCTCAAATGGTCTCAATTTTTTTTCAGAGCAGCATTCAGCACAGGTTAAATAGCAGATCCTTCTAAAGAGCTCACAAGTCCTGGTCTTGTACCGCTTCCCACTCACTCAGCTTAAGACAGTGGCATTACTCAGGTTTTGGGGTGGGGTTTTTTTTGTAGGACTTTTCATTCTGAGAGAGACCCCGCCTACAGACTTTCAGCATTTCCCCACTCTGCTGGCAGCCAACAGTCCTGCACGGCCTGCAGTGCTAGAAACATGTAGTCTCACATACGCAACGGAATCTTTTCTACATATCTCCCTGCATGGGGTTTCTCTGCTCTGCTTGTTCATATCCCCTCCTGCAGAGGGTCAGAGCAGTTAGCATCCAACACGTCTCCACAGCACTGTCCTCCTGCTGTCCTTTGATGCTCTGTGCTCGGTGTGAGACTGCTCTTTGAGAGGCAGATGCCAGGTCTCCCTACACTGCATACGGCCAATGACTATAAAATCAGTAACAGGATAAGCTGACACAAGCTGCGCTGATTTTCTAGGGCTGTGAACCCTGTGTGAGGACAGCTCACTTTCACAGTAAGTTATAACTATGATAACCAGCATACACAGGCCTTGGGGTCCAGCAGTAAAGCAAATGTCCAGAAATAACTGAGAGTCAGCTGAAGTTTGAGCATCCCTTTCATTGACTCCTTTGCTTCAGCCCCCTGCCTGTCCAAACTACAAATACCAGTGAAGAGCTACAGATCCTTACTGTTACTCTAAACCCTAAAGACACAAAAAACATGAGTTGCAATGAAATTACAAGCATCAGTTTCAGAAACAAGCAACCCAACAGGAAAAGCAGCACTAAGAAAGAGTCTTTGAACTCTTTCTCAGATTATTGCTGTATAATACTTCTGAATCTTATGTTAATAACAACATCCCTTACAAGAAAGAGAGCTGAGCTATCCACTCTTACCTTTGATGTCCCTGTGGATCTTCCTCTCAGAGTGTAGATAATCCAAACCCTTTAGGATTTCTCTCAGGATAGTAGCTATGTAAGTCTCCTCCAGGGGTCCCGGCTTCAGCTGATAAAGGGCAGAAAGATGACTTAAAGGAGGGTGACTGATGCCTTGGATTTTCCAGCCTCTCAGTTTGTTACTTGGAAACCTTGGCCAAGCAGGTCAT